CCTGGAAGGTAACACTGCCTGAAACTTCTCTGAAAGCCTCCAGGCTCTGCCTGTTGGCTGGGCCCCAGGTGCTGCTGTGCTTTGCTTTAGCAATTGAATCAAAGGTGGAAGGAGGAAGTTGCAGGGTGACTGACTGGGTAGCTGGGAGTCCTTCTCAGAACTAGGCAGGAGGCCTGGTGAATTGAAATAGAAGGTCTACTATAGAAGTCTAAAAAAATAGAGAGTTATTCCAAGGGAAAAGGTAATAGATGTCAGGAACTAAAAGCAGTAAATTATCCAGAGGTTAGGAGGGAAAACAGAGGGGAGTTTAACTGCAGCAAAGACGGATGATGGGGTCACTCTGGGGTTCAGGGAGAAAAACATGCTATGATCAAGGGAAGACTTAGAGATAATAGTCTCCCTTAATTCAAGGTAATTAATCTCAAAATGGTAATACTATGTATATATGCACACACAAATATATTACCTATTTGAGACTTAGTGTTCTTATAATTTAATATCCAATTCATTTAATTTTTAAAGGATCAGTGAGATAAGGAAAAATACCAAAAACATGGTAGCATACGGTAAAGGCTACATTTCTCACTCTTGTCTCTTCCTGTTAGATTGTAAATTTGTTGAAAGCAAAAATTATGTCTTATCCATCCCTGTATCCCTAGCACTTACATTAATGTGGCTTAGTAACTGTTTTTGTGATGCATGGGGGAATCATTTTGGATGCAGAATTAGCAGAAGGGGATTCATGGAGAGAGTAGCAAATGGTACAGCACAAAAAATAGATTATTATCCTATTTTGGTTGAAAAAGTTGATATGATAACCAAGACTGATCTATAATTTATTATATGCCTAATATTGTGCTAGGAACTTTACAAGTGTTAACTCAGTTAATCTTGACAGCCACCCTAGGACTTGGGCACTGCTGTGATTCCCGGTTTACAAATGAAGACCACAGTGCATAAGGAGATTAAGCTGAGTTCCTAACCACTACAGTTTTTGGCCAAGATGGTAATATGTTTATCTAAGACATGAATATTTTAGTAAGATTAAATCATTTTAGAAAATGTAATGAGCACCTAACAACTGATTTTCCCATGAGGAAAGAAATGATTGTCAAAAACAAATAACTTGAGTAATCATCACATTTCTTTTTTCATTTTTGTATATAGAATCTTCAACATACTAAGGCATACTGCTATTTTTGAACAGTCAGTTAGGTAAACATTGAGTACTGTATAAAAGCTTTACACATTGGAACAATTTCTTAAAAATTCATTCAAAAAGAAGGCCTCTGGAACAGAGCATTTCTAAAATATCTAGAAAATGTGTGCTGTAAGTAGTGTTAGTAATTAAAGGTTTGGCAAATGGATTTAAAAAATAAATGCAAAGTAATTTAATGTATATACTAAAATGGTTAACTAAATTATATTAAGAGAAAAAGATATGTACATGTTAATATTTTTGCTTTATGTATTAGTGGTAATATTTGTTTTAGATTCAAAAATATAGTTTATTCAGAAAGTAAATTAGGAAGAGGGGAGAGAGAGAGAGGAGATTCACCTCCACGAGAAGGGGAAGGAACCAAAGCTTAGGAAACATGGCAATGGCCAAAGCTCAAAGAGCACATGACCACAGCAGAGTCTAGTAAGTCAGTGGTAATATTATAATCCATATCTACCATTCCCTTAATTTATTGGAAGATCCATTTCCCAGGACTATATAATTAATCATAAAATGACCTGCTGATAAGATGCATAATAAATACCTGATATAAAAAAGTAAATATTTTAGTCCACATTTTTTATCTTACTCATGTGTATACTTTATATATACCTCCAAGAAGTTTTAAGGAAGAATCTTATGAAAAGGGCAGCAATCCAGTATTTATTCACTCCAGCATTGGACTGGTTGCTTTAGAGTTTATATACTTCCTATAATAATCCTATTTTCTTCATTTTACAAATGAATGGATTGAGGCTGAGGGACTAATGAGATTTCCCAAATTCACAATGCTGATTAGGGATGGGTATGGAAGGGTTTTCTCATTTGACTCTTTTAAAAGTTGAGTCCGTCTACTATACTTGTTGCCTTTCACTGATATGACACGTTTAATGTTCAAAATTCATTAACACAATTACAATCATGCTGAATCTTATACTCTATTATTCTTACCTGGTAATTGGAAAATAATAGATAAGGAAATTCAGATATTAATGCTTCAGATTCATTTACACAATGGATCTTATACTCGATCATAATCCTATTGGACCTGATGCCCTATTATCCCTATCTGATAATTGGAAAATATCAGATAAGGAAATTGAGATACACTGGATTCCATCATTTGCCCCAAGTTGTAAAGTCAACTAACTACAATGTGAGAACTTAATATCATATTCTCTGCCTCCTTTGCCATCACATGACAGTGTTTTTCTATCACATGACATTGTTTTTCCATAAAATTTCATTATAAAACATATTCTTGCATGAAATTTGCTACCAATTGAATCATTTCCTAGTTCCTACTGTATCTATTTCAGAATATTAAAGAAGGCCTTTGGCATGTGAATTCTTCCAGTTTTTGGACATCAACTTTATAATAGTTACTGTACTGGTTATACTATGAAGTTAGCCTGTTATAAAATTTGCCTTGAAGGTTATAAGATCCTTCCTTGTTATATTTTCCTTCCTGTCAGTTATTGGATGCTAAGGAATTTGCAATTTACCTTATAGGGAATGGGACACCCTTACAGAGATTATGGGCAGGTTATGATACAGCACGACTTCAGTTTTAGAAAAAAATAAGATAAAAGATAGCTGGAGGAAAAAGATTCTGCAGACAATGACACGAGTCTAGAAGGCTTTTTCAATTATGTAGTTAAGAGATGAGATGATAGTAAAGATGGAAAGGTGAAGAAAAATTTCACAGATAATCCAGGTAATGCCATAAGGAAAGCTAGCAGTGTCATCATTCTGTTTTAGGGAAAAGAGGGAAACAATAAATTGAGTTTGGGATATTCAGGGGATCTTTAAAAATATGCCAATGGCATTTTTCAATTTCTCCAAAATTTTAAAAAGGTAAAAAGAACAGTTGATTATATAACAGTATTTAGAAGATTAGGCCTCTAGATTTCTTCTCCAAGACACTCAGTTAATTTTGACATATTTTTTTCTTATAAATGTTTTGATACAAAGGAACAAAATTGCCTAGGATGAAACAGTACTTTAATATAAGGAAATCATCAATATGAAAAAAAAAAAACCTAAAAATTTTCCTACTAACAGTAGTTAAGCATGTCATTTTCACATACAAATATTAGTTTATAAACTAGACACTTCTGAAAAAAATTCACTTTCCCTGAAGAGAAAGAGTATGAGCTATGAGTTCACACAGTCCTTCTTTTTCCTCCTGACTCTATTGAGTAATCAATTCTGAGGTATCTGTTCTGAGGTATCCTCATTTTAGAATTGAACTAAAAACATTGTCAGTCTCATAGAATATTTAATAATGTAATTCATACGAAGCCGCTGTGGTCCTAGCATATAATACATGCTCCTAATATATTAACCATTATTATTAATATTATTTCTCAGAAGTAGAAATATATATTTAGCTATGGAAAGTTTTAAAAACATGACTATTATATATATGATATTTGTAATATATAGATTTGTTGAAATCTACAGTACTATATTAAATTATAAATATATTATCTGCATTGATTATTGATATATAAATTCGATGATTATGAGGCACACTTTTGAATAACATAAAGTATTTCATATTATCAAAAATCAATGCTAAATTTATCTTTAAAAATATGCCAATGACATTTTTCATTGTCTCCAAATTTTTAAATTTGGACAATTATAAATACCAGGTTTTTAAAAACTCTTGTTCAAGTTAATAAGACAGAAAAAAAGGAGAATAGTGAAATAATGTCAAATAATTATAAAAAGGTACAATTTATTAAAACAAAAGTCATAAAGCAGATAACACACACTGTCATTGTCATTTATGCTAAACAAATATAGATACAAACTTTTAAATGGATTATCAGTTTCATCAAATTTGGAGAAAATACAAAGATATAGTATTTCTAGACTTTAGTAAAATTCAACAAAAATGGAACAGATAGTATATTATCTTTCATAGAACTGAAATGATTATTTTGAATTAAGTCTCCACATATAAGCAGGTGGAGTTCTCAAAAGACAACTTATTTTTTTTTTTGGCAAGCAAATGAGAACCAAGATGCATTATTTTTCTGCCCTGTTATTTAAACTGATAAAACCCCAAAGACTGCACTCAAATACTTATTAAAATGTACCCATCTATAGGATTTGTCAAAATACGTCATTCTCCAACTACAAACACTTAAGAGAAAAAAAGTTTCTCTTTACTGAAATCATTGATATTGCTTAAATCACATTTATCTTTCTTATTAATATAGCCCTGGAAAAAAGCAGTTTAACTGAAAAGCCCCTTGACAAAATATCTGCTTCTTAAAAATGTTAATTTAATATACGAGAAAAGAAATGCCTCTGGGAAAAAAGGATAAAGGAATTAGGATTTCTAACTCCTAGGCTAAAAAAATGGGACATCAGAAAGCCATTTAGTTTCCTTTACACTGCTGATTAAAGCCTTCGTTATAAATGAAGGACATTAATCCCTAAGCTGTTTTTAAACAATTAATATTAACCTTCTTCAATCCTACTCATGGTTTCCTTGAAAAGCAATAGTTGGGTTTTATGTATTCAGTGTAATAGATTAGTGTTTCATTTCAAATAAGACCATAAGCATGTCTCTGTGTGAGACATAAACGTCACACTCATCTACATATATAACACTATGTCATAAAGAAAATATAGTTGTGAAATAATACAATCTTTAGCAATGTCATTTTGAAGTAACTGATAAAAAGAGTAAATGCATGAACCATCTTAGAAAACAAATTACTGTACTTTCTAGAACAAAGTGCTGTGTCGAACATCTCATTCTGCTGAAATAGCTTATAGAATCAAAAATAGTTGGAGCACAATTCCTGTCATTAGTATTAGGTGTTTAAGAACAGCAAATCAAAGTTTATTTGGGTTTCATTTTTAGAAAATAGTAGCAATTTTAGTCATTTTCATGACTTGATAGGTAAAGTTAAAAAAAATTAACAGACACAACTACACATACTGACTTTTGGAGTATACGCTCGGTGACTTCTTTTCCACGTGATAACTTTTTGGGGTTGTACGATGGGAAGGTATTGAATATCTATAGCCACTGCTCCTTTCACTGCAACAGAAAACACAACAGAACAATGCCCCTCCAGCAATGAGCACCAGCGCCGTGGTCCAGCCTATGTAGAGGGCTTCTCCAAGTTCCCGCTTTAGGGCAAGAGGCACTATTGGGTTGTAGAAATCTCTGATGATGGAATTGGCAACCCAGCTCACAGGAATGAGTACTACAATGCCAGTGACAATGAAGATGATTCCAGCCGTTAACAGGATGTGACCCTTCACCTTCTCATTGTCCCCAGTGCATCTGGTACACTTCATGCCGAGGATGGCCGTCATGAAAGCCAAGAGGGACAGCACCGAGGCAGCACACATCAATCCTCTGGATGCCTGAAGGTCTGGAGAAAGGGCCAGCAGGGAATCATAGATTTTGCACTGCATCCTGATGTTAGCCTGTCTTATGCAATTCATCCACAGTCCTTCCCAGCGGTTTTCAAAAACCACAATGTTGCTTTCAATGAAGGCAGACACTCTCCACTGAGGCATTATGGTGACAGCCACTGTGCCCACCATTCCAACACCACCAAGCACCAGTCCAGCGATTTGCAAGGCAGAGGTTGCCATTATCCTCTGAAATGGGTTTTATCCTGCAGGACTCCTGAGCTGGTAGAACTGCTCTGAAGCAAGGTTCTCTGTGCTGCAGGCGAGAACAGTTTTTCCTGTAGTGAACTCAGAACTCAGTGGTTTTTCAAATAAGAGCTGCTTTGCTACTTCTAGCTGGATAAAATCCAGTGTCGGCTGGCTGAGGTGCTTTCCCACCCCCCACTGACTGCAACTGGTAAACTTACAAATCAAGTGTGGCAACTTTCTCAGCCAATGAGAGGGGGATGGTAACCCAGTGTCTAAACCAACACTTGAATACTTGGAACAGCTGGACCTGCACTAAGCATTCTTTGTACTTTTCAGTTTTCCAAGAAGACAGCAGTATGTTTGTTTACCTGTGGGTATAATTATGAGCATTTCCACAATCATGAAGCAATCAGCCAGTCTTTTGCAACATGAAAGGTGCACCTTGTACTGACAATTCTGAAACTCTTAGTAAAAGCTGCAGTGACCGAGGGATAAAATTAAGTATCTTCCTAAGAAATCTGCAACGACTGTCAAAATGCCAAAGTGAAAAGCGAGTAGGGGATTGAAAGATTGCTCTTACCTGGAAAACCACATTCCTTGGGACACATGTGATCCAAGTGATTGATTTAATTTGTCTACAACTTCAAAGCAAGCTCTACTGGGCTGGTATCAGAGAACAAATCATACCAAAGATAAAATAAAGCTAAAGTTATCAAATATACAAGGTATCTTCCTAGGTACCAAAAACATATTGTTTTTCTGTTAAGCCAGAACGACTACTTATTGGTATTTTCTGATAATCTTGATTTGTAATAAAAAAGTGCTAAAAAATAAGGCAACAGATGATTTTCTTATGTGGCGAGCACTATAGAATGTAAATCATGATGTGGTTTACAGCTTGCTACCTTATTTTGTGACTTTGTCCTTGCTGCTATGTCTCCCAGGCTGAAGAAACTAGAATTCTACAGATAGTACTAGAGTCTTGTGTCTATGAGAATGGCTGATCTTTCAAAATAAAACATTTACGGGGCAAGGGAACTGCATTCATTAAGCTGTACTATACTAGGCGTTAACCAAATTTGTTTTTCTTATCTTTTAATACAATGTCTGCAGGAGGACACAGAACCTCTAAATGCAAGGCAATTTGAATTATGTCTCTCAAAATAACGACGATGATAACAGTGGTGCTAAAATAAATACAAATGTTGATTTGGGAAAACTCCACCAGCAGTTTTCTTCTGGAGATCACCTTGAGCTTTCTGTTTTGTCTTTCCAAATTTCAGGCTGTACTTCATTTTCTTTTCCGCCTAACATTATAAAAATGATATTTTCTTCACAACATTGCTTATTTTCCACTTTCTTGCACTACCTTAAACCCAGATATAAGAGAAAGTGTTTTCTGCTCACTTATTAAAATTTGAAAGTTTAATGGTCCAAAAAATCAGAGTTGATTATGGAGATTATTGAAACCAAATCTATATGGTAGGGAGAGGAAAATGACAAAGTGCACCGTCTTCTGAAGAAAAGGGGGGATGTATACTTGTCTGAGTTGTTACAATTTTATTAAACTGAACATTATGAATATGACAAGAATTAAAACTTGATATTCACCATAATTTCCTCATTCACTGACTTGCTAAGGCTGAAACTACAAGGTGTCCTATACGTTGGCACAGAATATATGTAGCATTTTCTTCATCAGATTTCCATCAGTGACAGATTTGTGGTGGGGTGGAAAACAGATTAATCTTGGGAAAATGATCTGCAATCTACAAAAGGAAGAAGGAAATTTAAACAGTAGATTTTTAAGTGCTTAATTGTCAAACTGGGAATTGTCAAACTGACAGAATTGGAAAATGAAAAATAAATGATATAACTGGTTGAGATAAGACAAATTGAACAAAAACACATTTTTAGGAAGGTCAGGAACATATTGATCCAGTATTTCTTTTTTATATTTCCATGTAACATATTTCTTAGGACCTCTTTTTATTGTTGAATATCCACATGAAAAGAAAAACATTAGATAGAAACATGTATCATAGTGCCTTCCAGGTATGTATTGATGTATCTCTTAGCTTTGTGTTACCAAATCTCTCTTCCCTTAAATACTGAACTTTACTAGGAACTTATTTCATATAAAGAAATTGTCCTCATTTCAAAAATATTAGGTACTTGACTACTGAAATTTTCTTAGCCAAAAGATTAAGATCTTATTGAGAAATTAATGCTAGGTTCATATGAGAATAATCATAGAGTTAACTGCCCTAGCAGGAAGTAGCCCAGTGTATCCAGATAGGTTTCTTATCAGACAATGATACAGTTAAGTCCATGATATATTTTTTTAAAATCATGCCTTCAAAATATCACAAAAAATAAAGAGACAGAAACAAAAATGGCAATATCACATTTGCTGAAGACAGAGAGGCCTAAATTCAGTGATTAAAAAGTCAACTGTTGCCAGGTGTGGTGGTTCACTCCTGTAATCCCAGGACTTTGGGAGGCAGAAGCAAGAGGATTGCCTGAGTCCAGGGGGTAGAGACCAGCCTGGGAAACTTGGTGAGATCTCGTCTCTACAATAAATCAAAAAATTAAACGGGCATAATGATGTGTGCCTATAGTTCCAGCTACTTGGAAGGCTGAGGTGAAAGGATTGCAGCAGGTCGAGGCTACAATAATCGTGACTGTACCACTGTACTCCAGCCTGGGTGACAGAGTGAGACTCCAAGTCAAAAAAATAAAATAAACTGTTTACCTACTTTTCTGTCCTAACCATGACCCTAAACCTAACTCTAACCCCAGTTAACTTGGCTACAAAATTTAGGTAGCAGCAATAGAGACATAGTAGATTAATAACATATTTATTGTTCTTTAATTTAGAACCACAGAGAAGACTACATGAATTATTCTATAATGTACACTTCAATTTCTAGGCAAAACCAAAATACTACCAAGAACTTAAGAAAGAAATGAGTGCTTATGTTGACTCCCCGTATATCCTCTCTTGGTGTCTCCTTTTAGTCAACATTCACAGAAGGCACAAATAAGTTTAACAATTAAACTTGCTAGATGAATTTCAGCCCTGATAGCCGTAAGACACATGCAAATACTTTCTCTTCATATAAGCTAACGCTCATTTCACTATCAGATTGTCTTTATTTTTGTCATCCTTAGTTTTACAGCCATTAATTCTTAACCTGACTCAACTTTTCAGTCTTGGATTTCTATTAATATTTATCTGTTTGAAATAACTTTTGCTTCTGCCAATCAAGCAAGCACCAACTTCTATTGTTTTCTGGATTTACCTTTGTGGTTTTCTGTTATGTTGACAGGGTTCAAACTGTATTTATTTTTAATTATCTTTCACTGTTAATTAACTTGGCTGACCATCTTGTCCTGTGAAAATAAGTGACCATATCAATAAATCTCTTTGTTTGTTGTTCCCCAAATCATGTTGTGCATTACTACATCTTCTCTTGAACCACCATGCTGTTTGTCCTTCATGACAGCCAACTGTCCACCATGCTCTCTATTCTCAAAGTGTTTTGTATCCATTCGTGGTACTCTCTTTTCACCACCTCACTGTGATTTATTTTCAATTGCTCTGCTTAAACATGAACTCCTTCCTGTATAGAAATTGTCTACTGTCTTAGCCAGTCCAGACTGTTTTAGCAAAATACCATAGACTGGATGGCTTAAACAACAAAAATTTATCATTCTTCTGAAGGCAGGGAAGTCTGATATCAGAGTGCCAGCATGGTCACGTTCTGGTGAGGGCCCACGTCCCCAATTAATATGTTTGTCTTTAGACTGTGTCTTTACAGGGCAGGGAGAGAGAGAGAGTAAATTGTGGCCTCTTTCTTTTCTTTTAAGGACATTAATAACATGATGGAGGCTCTGCCTCTGTCACTTCATCTACACCTCCCAAAGTTTAGCTCTCAAAAACCCCTCCTCCAAATGCTATCACATTGGAGGTTAAAGTTTCGACATAGGAATCTGGGGGAGGTAGAATGTAAATATAATCTCTTTTTTCCAGGATAAAAAAATAGTAAACAAAAATTAAAAAACAGACAATGGGAATAGGAAGCATTGACATGTTTTTACCTTTCTTCCAATTTTCTTTTTTTTAAATTAAAATCTGACTGTGAGGTGAATTCTGGTATATTTTGGGAGACAGTTCTATGTGCTTTGCTGATCAAAATGTGTTTGCTATCTCTACTAAAAGACTTGAAATCCAGGAAAATAATTAGAAAGAAAAAAGCCACATATTGTGGGAATTTTTCTGTAAATTAATAACTAATTTTTGTGGACAGAATTGACACGAACCACTCTAATTCTAATGATTTTGGAAAGATTTTTAAAAGACAGTAGAACTTGCTAGTAAAAACATCAGCTACTATTAAATATTTCCTATGCCATATGTTTCTTATATCACTGTACCTTATACTAGGACATCCCTAATAGGCAAAGGTTATTAGCCCCTTTTATAACTGGATGCATTCAAACTCAAGAGAAATTGCCATTTTAAAAGCCATATAACTTTGGCTGGCTGAATCTGCAGAAATGGAATCCACGTTTGGACCTAAAGCCCATGTTCTCTTGTATATTGTCTATTATTGTTCCAAAGGAAACTAGAGAAAGATAATTTCTTATATTGATGTATATGGCCGAAGTTAATGAAGACACAACATTTGTTCCAAAAAATTGTTTTTTATTGCCTAGCACATTGTTGAAAACAATTTGTGTGACCAAGCTTCTCAATTAAAAAATAAATCTGATTCACTGCAATTTAAAATTTATTTCTCTATCTATTGAATTTCAGAGAAGTTTATACTGAAGAAATCTTAGAAATCATGCCATAATTATTTCTTATTTAGAGTTTAAGTACATCCACATGCTGAAATTACCACTGGCATCCCTTTCTCATCAATCTTCAATTCTTGTCCCCATTTTTGTAATTTCTTTTTTTTTTTTTTTTTTTTTTTTGAGTTAGAGTCTCACTCTGTCGCCCAGACTGGAGTGCAGTGGCCGCTCCCGGCCACCGCAGCCTCGACCTGCTGGGCTCCGGCGATCCTTCCACCTCAGCCTTCCCAGTAGCCGGAATTACAGACATGCGCTACTACGCCCGGCTGATTTTTTTGATTTATTGTAGAGATGAGGTCTTGCTGCCCAGGCGGGTCTCGAACCCGCGGGCTCAGGCAATCCACTCACCTCAGC